CGCGATCTTACGTATATCGGCCGCACCAGGGACGACGCTACAATCCGCCCATAGAAGATCGCTTGCTGTCAAGAAATGCGACCTATCGCCTACCAACGATGAGCTAGGTCAGAAGCGCTGCCGCCATCCACGTTGAGGAATTACCAACTGCTACTGGTAGCTTAGAGAACGGAGACATAATGACTAAAGGTTTCCTCTCTAGACTTCATATAGTGTTGAATGTATAGTCCACTCTAGACTCCGAGTCAGAACTTAAAGATTATTTAAATTAAATTTCATAACCTAATCCTAAACTTTTAAACTTGTAAGTCACATTGTGAATATCTCTAATTGGCGAAATTGAATTGGATGTTTTTATAGAATTTTTTTAAATATAAATATATTTATATTATTGATGCTTCGAACTTTTTAATTTGGGTATTTTAATTAATAAATATATTTCATACCAAAATTTGAATATCTACTTTAATAAAATATTATTACACAAAATAACGAAATATATATTTTAAAATATGTATAATGTAACTAAGCTGTTTTTAATTTCTATAAAAATAAAGGCGTTCACTCCCGACAAAACTTCAGTCCAGGGGTCAGATAAAGCTTCACAATCTATCAAATCGATGTTTTATTGGCAAAGTATCTAAGCCAATTTTATGGCGAAAATATAGATGTAAATATTTTCCAGGAGTATTTTTATTTATAAAAATAAGGATCACCTCATCCGTCAAAATAGACGACCAGGCTAGACGCCATCTATTGACCGTCGCCGTAGCTATCGACCTCGGTTCAGTGACAAAGCTATAACATATTTTAAAGCAAAATATATTTTATTTTTTAAATTGAAAATAAATTTCGGTTTTAATTCTCTTTATTCAAGAGCCTTCAGCTCTTACAGACAGGCACTCATAAACTATGGTAGAAGATTCTGAAGAAAATCCTTTTTAAGAAGCCAAAAGGTAGCAAGAGAACTACTTATTACCCTTTGGTGACCGGTAGAAGAAGAATAAAGGCAAGCAGAAGATATCCTCGGGTTGCCCCACCTCTAGGGTCTACAAGAATTCCGAAGTTTTCTCATTTGAGAAGAACTTCCTCAAGTTCAAGCAATGCAGAGATTTCCACGGCCACCGTGAATCCTACATGTCACAGATCCTGGAGCTGAATAGTGATGGCAACAACAACCCCCACGATATTCACCTCAAGGTTCTGTCAGCTAACTACCCTTGTATTGATGAAATATTCCTCTTCTAAAAGTTCTGTCAGTCTTAGCGCACCATAGCAACTTATACATTATTGAAAAATTGATAATTTTGTAAATTTTGGTGAAATGTGCTTTCTAAATTTCCTATCCCACCCAACCAGCATTTGAAAAGAATAAACTTATCCATTATATTTTTAAACAAGAGTTTATTGCCAACCATCATGTTGCAGAACTATTCGCCAACGATCTATAAATATTATTTGCGGAAGAAAAAAAGGCAGTGGTTGCGCGAGCGGTAAGTTTTTGATTAGAGCGTCATGAAGAAAGGTAAAGTGTCTGTTAAGCTACGTAGTCTCCACTACAAATATGCGAAAGCAATAATAAGAGGTGGTCCATGCACACCGACAATACCAGCTATTTCATTGACGGGTTGTACCCCACTCGATATCTCTATAAAGGCTCACATAGAATATTTAAAAACTTTGAAAACGGGCCACTACGAATCACGCCCAAGTCCTTCCTTTTTACCCTATCCTCCATTACGGAAGATAATCTATTTTACCAAATCACTACAGCTAAATGTCACCACCATTTACACAGACGGATCCCAATCATCAGAAGGAGTTGGGGCTGGAGTCATCCTACCACCTCCTCTACAAACCATACAACTTAAACTCCACCAGGAGTGCTCAGCGTTCCTAGCTGAACTGCTTGCCGTTCTTCTACGCAACAAAAATCACCATGAATTTCCCGAAAGAACACTTTATCATTGCCTCAGACTGCCAATCAGCTCTATCAGCCATATGTAGGTCTTGGCCCCCAAGAACACAACTAATTGCGGAAATAATCTACAACCTGCATTTTTCACCAAATGTGCAACTCTGCTGGATCAAAGGCCACAGCGGTATTCCTGGAAATGAACTGGCGGATCAGGCGGCAAAGGCTGCAGCACATTCTAATCTGCCACTATCCTTTACCATCCTCCCAAAGACCGTCGCGCGCGGTAAAAAAGAACAGATAGCCCTCAAAATGTGGACAGACCTCTACATCCAAGATTACTCCACCAGAAATCTACGAAGATTTGCTGCTACCCCGAAACTACTCCTCCAAATGCTTCGAAACATCAAGCATGGATCTACCTCCACAACAATTTAACCGGCCATGGTTACATTCAGGCAGACCTTGCAACGGTATCGAAAGAAGACCCAATTTGCGCCCACTGCCAAGATGAAGACCAAACCGTAGACCACCTCCTCTTCACTTGCCCAACCTTCCAATACCAAAGATTCCAGACAGCCACTCTCCTAGGTATCACCAACATATGTCCAGCATCCCTAGAAAATCTCCCGAGAAAGAAATCTGCCTGGCGACACCTCATTAATTGGACCTCCACTGGCATTGTATATAAATCCAAGAAGACTTAGGTCAGAAGGACATCCCGGGTAGTTGGCGACTTCTGTACGCTTCAGGAACCTGGGTTACTTAAATAAATAAAAAGTGTCTGTTAACATGTTGATAAGCGGACTGACAATAGCCGACTTCCTTTACAGCAGGTTCTAATATGTATATTAATTTAAAATTAATGGAAAGGAAAAGGAGGAAACTATTCAAATATTAAACAGGTAACAAAATTTAAAGTGAAATGTTTTCAATCCAGTGGCTTTAACATGACTTCATAAATATTTTGAAAAATGGCCATCTAAATTAACATGGCATTTCAAAAAAATAGAAATACTAGAGGTTACATGTATTTATTTTAGATTAAATTAATAGACCGTGTTATTGAAGTATCTAAATGTCCTAGATATCACAATTAATTGTTGTAATTCATTTTAGGTTGTTTAAATAACGTTTCAATGCTTCTTCCTGATGCTTCAGCATATCTGCTATCACATTCGCTGCATTGAAGAGAATTGTTTTAAAGTAAATTTGAAATAGTGTATATATATATCGTATATTTTAAAACTGTATAATAATGACACTTTTAGTATATGCCACATATCTCCCAATTAGTTAGAGCCGATGCCTTAAAATATCCTACCTTCTATTAAAATGTATAGTTTCTATTTGCTACCACCCCCATATTTTGTATATATGCTATATCTTTATTAATATAACCTGTACACCCTTATTTGTATTTAAACTAAAAATGGTGACGTCTAAATAAAAATCCATAGAGCGGTCAGCTGGGGACAGCGGGGGAGAAGGAAGAAAATGCCAAAGCCCATGTGGGGCCGGCCCCCAGGGACTCTTTGTAGACGACCCCTGAAAACAAGACAAGTTTTGACAGGGGGTCAGGAGATGTTCTAGAGGTGTTGCTCGGCAGTTCGCTTCAGCCTGTCGGTCTCACACACTCTCCCTCCATGTCTCGGTGATAAACATCAAAGTTTGTGTCATGGCCTCTACCTCTGTCCCGTCGGCTGTCCCCGATCCCTCTTTGTGCTAACATCTAGCCCTGCCTCTGCTTCTTGTTGTCCGCGTGTGGGAAGATCATCAACACTCGCCTCACGTACACGACTGCCAGTTCATCCATACGTCGGCACATTGCAACAATATTACAGAAAGTCGACAGGATGACTGAGGACAACAACATGCGGAGGACGATGGAGGTGTCGGAGGACGACGAATACTTCGTGGATGCCTCTGCCTACATGCAACCCCGCGTCGACGACCTGGTATGCCGCCTCACAGACGCTATACGAGGACTAGCCGCGCCTCGTGCTGGGGAGAACCTCATCGCCCCCTTCGACGGCTCCTACGCCGCAAACACCTTCTTCCAACAACTAGAGCAAGCATACAAGGCGCCGAGCGACGACACCACTCGGCATGTAAGGCTCCGAGCACTGCTAAAAGGTGAGCCCCTTTCCCTCAACAATGAGTTGAGTCTGGCCTCTCGGTCATATGATCAGGCAAAACAAATCCTCATTGACCTATACCGCGGAACATCTGAGGTGACATTCACCAAATTCATAACATATAGGCGCAATAGTCAAACGGCCTTAAGTGACTACTACCACCAAAAGGTAGCGATGGGGCTACAACTGGGCCTAACCAACCCCATCATAGTGGAGGCATTAACCGAGGGCCTCCAGGCAAATGACCAACGCCTCATGAAGGCCGTAGCACCCCAGACATTGACCGACTGTTACGCTACCATAAATAGAGTAAAGGGCACGAGCTCACTCCCAATCCTGTCAGAGCAACCCCAACGTACCACCAACTTCAATGTTGCACCACATGATGCCAGAAAACCACCCTTACAATGCAGACATGCCGTGGTGATCACTGGAACAATGACTGTCCCATGGTGAACAGGCGGCTCTCCAGACCACAGGCCTACCAAGGCCAGAATAGCTCGCAGAACTTTCGGCCAGAACAAAGTGGTGCCCACCACTATCCCGTGCCAAGTTCATCCCACACCACACAAGGCAGCGGAACCTTTCGTCCCTGAACCACATAATATTATATGCAATGCACATATTTTAGACAACCTACGTTGTCCATTCCTCTTAGACACAGGAGCATCCATTAATATAATTAATTGGAATATTTTCAATCACCTAAGTATAAATTTACCCAATCCTTTAAAATTATACCCACGTGATATGCTAATCAATTCTATATCTAATCATGTGCATACAAAAGGGTATAAACAATACTTAAAATTATACCGCATAAGTTTCTTTTCTATGAAAAATCAATATTTATTTCAAAGAGAAATATTTACTATTTCTAACTTTTTTGAATGAAGTATGAGAGGGTGAAAATATGAAGAGTAATGGCGAACGGGAAAAATAAAAGTTGCCAGGGGCGGGAATCGAACCCACAACCTTCTGCTTACCGGGCAGGTGCCATGTCCACTAGGCTACCCTGGACGTTATTTCTCCGTTCGTAAATAATACTTAAAGTAACTTATAATACATCATAAAGGACTGCGGCGTGTGATTATAAACAACTAGCCGAGTGACCCGGGCAACGCCCCGGGTTTACCTGAAGGACCCGCAGGTGAGAAACTATAGAAGAAAAATTTTAACAAATCAGAAAATGAAATTGCAAACAACAGAACTACACTACTTTAAGGACATGAGAGCACATGCACTATATCACCATACGTGTACCATTTTCGAAGACCCTGCTTAGGATTAAAACTTCTCAGAAGCATAACAATAGTACCAACCTAGAGGTTAACTGGTGTGGATGCATTCCTCTGGGAGTGAGACTATTGAGAAATTCAGTAGGGAGTTATTTTGCTTCTCCGCATTCTAACACTCCAACTGTTAACACTGTGGAAACACTGACTCATGTTTGGTAAGCAATTTCAGGGAAGAAACTATAGACATTGGATTAAATAAATTATTAATTAAATTGCATTAAATAAAAATTATTAGATTTAAATAAATATTATTAGAGTGAAAAAAAAAGAAAGAAATTAACAAATTAGAAAATAAAATTTCGAAAAATACAACTATATTGCAGATAAGATGAGAGGACCTTATTAAAAAATACATAAACAAACTGTAATTCGACACTCGATGATTCGACACTTTCGATATTTCGACCATTTTAAAAATCAAATTTACAAGGTTGGTTGTTGTTTAAATACAACTTTGCTTTTGCATGCATAAACACAGGCTCTTGTAGCAAGAACCCAAATATTATTTATAGTCATAGCAAAAGCCAACTTTAGTGAAAACTGATGCCTCTTCAGAATGAATGGAAGACTGAAATCTGAAGGAGCAGAAGATATGGGTCATTTATACATTCACCAATGCCTTTAGGATCTTTGCGATGGAACGCGTATGGTGTTTCAGCGCATGTGCTCTCATGTCCTTGAAGCACATATACTGACAGTGCCCAAAGTTGAACACACTGTATAGTGTCTGAAATATCTTTGGCCCCTTCGGATACCAACCTTCGCTTCATTCTAGAGAGGCGTTAGTTTTCATGTCATATCTGTAATATAGTTTTGTTGTTTGCAATTTTCTTTTTTTTTTTTCCTTTCAAATATGTATCCACTCTGAAATATAGTTTGTAAATTTTTATTCCAATTTATTTTCTTATATATATATGTATTTTTTTTTCATTTCCAAAATATTTATTTATACTTTCACCAATGCCTTTAGGATCTTTGCGATGGAACACGTATGGTGTTTCAGCGCATGTGCTCTCATGTCCTTGAAGCACATATACTGACAGTGCTCAAAGTTGAACACACTGTAAAGTGTCTGAAATATCTTTGGCCCCTTCGGATACCAACCTTCGCTTCATTCTAGAGAGGCGTTAGTTTTCACTAAGGTTGGCTTTTGCTATGACTATAAATAAGGCTCATGGCCAAACCTTGGCTACAAGAGCCTGTGTTTACGCACGGACAACTTTATATGTGGCTTTTTCAAGTGTGCGAACATTGGATAGCATACATGTAAAGATGACCCATATCTTCTGCTCCTTCAGATTTCAGTCTTCCATTCATTCTGAAGAGGCATCAGTTTTCACTAAAGTTGGCTTTTGCTATGACTATAAATAATATTTGGGTTCTTGCTACAAGAGCCTGTGTTTATGCATGCAAAATCAAAGTTGTATTTAAACAACAATCAACCTTGCAAATTTGATTTTTAAAATGGTCGAATTATCGAAAGTGTCGAATTATCGAAAGTGTCGAATTATCGATAGTGTCGAATTATCGATAGTGTCGAATTACAGTTTGTTTATTTATTTTTTAATAAGGTCCTCTTATCTTATCTGCAATATAGTTGTATTTTTCGAAATTTTATTTTCTAATTTGTTAATTTTTTCTTTTTTTTTCACTCTAATAATATTTATTTAAATCTAATAATTTTTATTTAATGCAATTTAATTAATAATTCATTTAATCCAATGTCTATAGTTTCTTCCCTGAAATTGCTTACCAAACATGAGTCAGTGTTTCCACAGTGTTAACAGTTGGAGTGTTAGAATGCGGAGAATCAAAATAACTCCCTACTGAATTTCTCAATAGTCTTACTCCCAGAGGAATGCATCCACACCAGTTAACCTCTAGGTTGGTACTATTGTTATGCTTCTGAGAAGTTTTAATCCTAAGCAGGGTCTTTGAAAATGGTACACGTATGGTGATACAGTGCATGTGCTCTCATGTCCTTAAAGAAGTGTAGTTCTGTTGTTTGCAATTTCATTTTCTGATTTGTTAAAATTTTTATTCTATAGTTTCTCACCTGCGGGTCCTTCGGGTAAACCCGGGGCGTTGCCCGGGTCACTCGGCTAGTACTACTATATCACAGATAAGACTACATATAAAAGGAATGAATTCATTTAAATGACCTCATTAAAAACTACATTTTATATATACTTGGGTTCAACTTTACATGTATGCTATCCAAAGTTCGCACACTTGCAAAAGTCACATAAAGTCGTCTGTGCGCAAACCCAGGCTCTTGTAGCAAAGGTTTGGCCTTGAGCCCTCTTTATAGTCATAGCAAAAGCCAACCTTAGTGAAACATAAAGCCTCTCTAGAATGAAGCGAAAGTTGGTATCCGAAGCAGAGGAAAACTATAAAACTGAAAGCCAGGACAGGCATAAAAAGAAAATTCCAAGCATGTGAGGAAACAATTGATGAAAAAACAAAGGATTCCAAAAAAATACTGCAAAAAAGAAACCAGACACAAAAAGCAACAATTGAGTACACAAATACAGCATCAGCCTATTTATGAGAAGAAAAAAAAGACAGACACAAAAATGGAGCTAAATTCAAATGAAAAACTATAACAAATTAATAAAAGAAAATAAGACCTAATCCAAATAATTTAATAAAAAAAACGGCACACACTATTAAATTATTTGGATTAGGTCTTATTAATGAGAAAAAAAAAAGATGCCAAAGAGAGATGAAAAGATGCCAAAAAAGATAACCAGATACAAAAATTGTGCTATATTCAAATGAAAAACTATAACAAAAACTTATAAAAGATAGAATAAAAGTAATAATTCAATCTACAATTTGAAAAATAATATAACCTGGTGAGTTCCCAGAAAAGGTTAACTTTGGTAGGCGGCGCTGTACGTTGACACCGCCGTACCTTCGAGCCGTTTTACACGAGTTCCCAGAAAAGGTTAACTTTGGTAGGCGGCGCTGTACGTTGACACCGCCGTACCTTCGAGCCGTTTTACACGAGTTAAAGCGAAGATTTTGGACGTAGTGATTTTTACATTTCGATCTTTTATATTAATATATATATACTTACTATTTCGAATTATTTTTCTAAAAACGAACATTATTTTTTTAATTATCTGAAACTAACCTAATTCAACTTATCTAAAACTAACCTTATTTAGCGATTATACTAACATAATTTATCCTATTTGAATCTAACCTCATATACACTTTTACACTACCTTTTCATTTCAAAATTAAATTAAAATAAGTTTATATTAAATAATAACATTTTTAAAAATCGACTTTCTGGTTCACACTTTTGTATCTAATCAATTATGTATTTCTTTATTTCGCTCTATAAAAGTACGCAATTCAAAACAAAGGAATTGATGATGATAAATGCAATAAATCTACGATTGTAAAATAGATTAAATTAAAAAATAAAAATAACTGTTAACATCAGGAAAATAAAAACAGGCCTATCATACGAAGAAAAAAATAACGAAAATTTTGGTATATAGATCGTTATGTGTAGTTCAGAATCTTCGGAGGAGATAGCTCAGGACTTTACAATGGAAAACTCTGTTACGGTATTATCTATATAGATACTTAAAATTATACCGCATAAGTTTATTTTCTATGAAAAATCAATATTTATTTTAAAGACAAATATTTACTATTTCTAACTTTTTTGAATGAAGTATGAGAGGGTGAAAATATGAAGAGTAATGGCGAACGGGAAAAATAAAAGTGTCCAGCGGCGGGAATCGAACCCACAACCTTCTGCTTACCGGGCAGGTGTCATGTCCACTAGGCTACCCTGGACGTTATTTCTCCGTTCGTAAATAATACTTAAAGTAACTTATAATACATTATAAAGGACTGCGGCGTGTGATTATAAACAATACTTAAAATTATACCGCATAAGTTTCTTTTCTATGAAAAATCAATATTTATTTCAAAGAGAAATATTTACTATTTATAACTTTTTTGAATGAAGTATGAGAGGGTGAAAATATGAAGAGTAATGGCGAACGGGAAAAATAAAAGTGTCCAGGGGCGGGAATCGAACCCACAACCTTCTGCTTACCGGGCAGGTGCCATGTCCACTAGGCTAGGTTGTGGGTTCGATTCCCGCCCCTGGACACTTTTATTTTTCCCGTTCGCCATTACTCTTCATATTTTCACCCTCTCATACTTCATTCAAAAAAGTTAGAAATAGTAAATATTTCTCTTTGAAATAAATATTGATTTTTCATAGAAAAGAAACTTATGCGATATAATTTTAAGTATTGTTTATAATCACACGCCGCAGTCCTTTATAATGTATCATAAGTTACTTTAAGTATTATTTACGAACGGAGAAATAACGTCCAGGGTAGCCTAGTGGACATGGCACCTGCCCGGTAAGCAGAAGGTTGTGGGTTCGATTCCCGCCCCTGGACACTTTTATTTTTCCCGTTCGCCATTACTCTTCATATTTTCACCCTCTCATACTTCATTCAAAAAAGTTGGAAATAGTAAATATTTCTCTTTGAAATAAATATTGATTTTTCATAGAAAAGAAACTTATGCGGTATAATTTTAAGTATTGTTTATAATCACACGCCGCAGTCCTTTATAATGTACAAAATGGTATACCCATTTAACCATTACTATAGGAAAAATAACCAAATCAGTCAAATTCTACATAATAAATAATTCATTACCTTTTGGTATCCTAACATTAAATTCAATTAGTAAGTTTTGTTTAACGTTAAACTTTTATAACCGGTCTATCTACCAATGTGATGCTCCTTTGTCTAAGAGATGGTACCATATAACTTATGTGACCCCATGTAATGATTGAGAAGGTGACCTCAGTCCTTCCAACATGGACCATGACATTACTAACTCACATTCCCCATCATTGCAAGAGGAAAATTTCCATCCCATACCATGTCCCACTATCTTGTCTAAGATCTTTACCCATTATGAAAAAAATGCGCCCAGCCAAACTTTATTTCATGCCCCCCCATTCATATTCATTATCATCATTATGTTCTTCCGAACATCAAAGTGAAATACGGATGGTAATGTTAATTTTTCAAATGAATTGGTTAACAATGTTTTTTTACTCCCTCTCTGGCCTAAAGAATAGTGTTTTTCCTCTCTAACATTGGGGAGATGTTTAACCGGGGAAGGGCGAATTACTATCCTTGGCTTTGAGAGCGGGCAATTTTAGCTCCAAGAAATTGTGTAGTTGATGACATAAATGCTCAGCTTTTGAAAGAAATACCAGGGCAAAGCATTTTATATACTTCTGTGGATTCCACCCCTGATGCTGAGGATTGAGTGGAATATACAACAGAGTTTTTAAATTCTTTTGAACCTTCTGGGATGCCACACATCATTTAGAACTTAGAGTTGGTGTTCCCATTATTTTATTGAGAAATATTGATGCACCCCGCCTTTGCAATGGTACCCGTCTCTGTGTTAAAATATTGTGGCCTCACATGTGGTAGAGGCAACCATTTTGACTGGTTGTTTTCAAAATGAAGAGGTTTTATTCCACGGATTCCTCTGATTCATGATGATAAACATTCTCCTTTGCATTTTAAAAGATGCAGTTCTCCATTCGAGTTTCTTTTGCCATGTCGATTAACAAGGCTCAAGGTCAGTCCCTCAAAATTGCTGGCATTGACTTGGAGCAACCCTGTTTCTCGCATTGGCAATTGTATGTTGCCTGCTCTAGAGTTGGCTCAGGAAGAAATCTTTATGTTTTGGCTCCAGAAAATAAGACTTCAAATTTTGTGTATTCTTCTGTGTTGTCATGAATAATTTTTGTATGCTATTTTAGTATCTTTTTTGTTGTTGTTTAAGTGGTATATTATTTTCATAATTCTTTCTATATACGTATATATTTGATCACAAAATATTGATGCACCCCGCCTTTGCAATGGTACCCGTTTCTGTGTTAAAAGAGTGTGGCCTCATGTGGTAGAGACAACCATTTTGACTGGTTGTTTTCAAAATGAAGAGGTTTTTATTCCCCGGATTCCTCTGATTCATGATGATAATCATTCTCCTTCACATTTTAAAAGATTGCAGTTCCCCATTCGAGTTTCTTTTGCCATGTCGATTAACAAGGCTCAAGGTCAGTCCCTCAAAATTGCTGGCATTGACTTGGAGCAACCCTGTTTCTCGCATGGGCAATTGTATGTTGCCTGCTCTAGAGTTGGCTCAGGAAGAAATCTTTATGTTTTGGCTCCAGAAAATAAGACTTCAAATTTTGTGTATTCTTCTGTGTTGTCATAATTTTTTTTTATGCTATTTAATCTTTTTTTTTTGTTTGTTTGAGTGGTATATTATTTTCATAATTATTTTTATATACGTATATATTTGAAAGGTAAAATCTCTAGAATTAGAATATTCAAGGACAGTTGCAGATTATTATGATTTATATTGATATTAGTTTTTTTTAATTATTTTTCAGAAAAACATCTACGAATGTTTGAATGGGGTCTGAAAACATTAGATTACAGGCTGCTGGCTAGGCTTGGTCAATCACGGTCACTCTTCTCAAGCAATTTCAATCCCTATCCCTTTTTACCCAAAGAGTGTAATAGACCTACAGAGGATGCACCACTATATATAAGAGTTAACACGCTGGGGCGGGTACCTCGGAGGTTGGGTGGAAAATCTGCCAACTATATGAACTATGTATTACTTCGGTGTTGCTATTCTATGGCTCTAATACTATTTATTAGTACTGTTCTTTCAGTATGAAGGAAATTGCACTCGGGGAAATTCCTGGGCGAAGCCGGGTCATTCGTCTAGTATATACACTGCGTGACATTGAAAATGGAACACCAAGAAATAGTGGCCAGAAAGTGATGAAACTAGGCAGACAGAGAGAGACAGGGACGAACAATAAGTGATCTTTATTTCAAAATGATAGTCATAATACAGAGCGAGAACGGCGTCGGCTTAGTAGCAAGTAGGACCACCGCGGACGGCGATGCACGCAGCAACACGTCTAGGTAGAGAGTCAATCAGAGTACGGATGGCGTCCTGAGGGATGGCTCTCCATTCCCTCTCAACCATTTGCCACAGTTCGTCTTCTGAACGCGGCAGTGGCAAGGCATGCAATCGGCGTCCAATGATGTCCCAGACGTGCTCGATTGGTGAGAGATCAGGAGAGTACGGTGGCCAGGGAAGCATCTGTACATCTTGCAGAGCTTGTTGGCTAATGCGAGCAGTGTGCGGTCGGGCGTTATCCTGCTGATAAAGGGCATTGGGTACCCCCTGAAGGTAGGGGAGTGTCACCGGTCGCAGAACATCATCAACGTATCGTTGGGCCGTCATAGTGCCCTGAATACGAAGTAAAGGTGACCTGGAATCATACACGATTGCGCCCCAAACCATGATTCCACGTTGTCGCACGGTGGGGCGTTCCACAATTGCTGCCGGATTGGACCTTTCTCCACGTCGACGCCACACGCGTACACGGCGACTATCACTGAACAAGCAGAAACGCGACTCATCTGAGAACACGACCCTGTGCCATTCCGTCATCCACGTCGATCTAGCGCGGTACCATTCCAAACGTTGGCGCCTATTCGGTGGGGTCAATGGCAGTCTTCTTAGCGGACGGCATGAGTGCGAGCCATTAGCAAACAATCGACGGGAAATGGTTCTGGTCGAGATGGAATGATCTAGGGTGTCTTGCACATGTTGCAGGATGGCGGTACAAGTGGCTTGTGGGGCCGCCACTGCTTGTCGAAGGATACGCCGATCCACACGTGCTGACGTCACTCTGGTTGCACCACATTCCTATAAATTGCCACCATTTCCTTGTTCCAACCATCTTCTCCACAGTCGGTGCACCGTGGACGCACCAAGGTGTGTATCAACTGCGATTTGACGTATGGACCAACCTGCCCTTTTCAGTCCGATCACCATGCCCCTCGTAAAAGCGTCTGTCTGCTTGAACTGCCTCCGTTTACGATGACCTGGCATTCTCTGTTATTACACGTATCTTTTGACAAAAGAACAAAATTTCTACAATGATTTTCCTTGAAGAAATAACGACACGAATACTGTCCTTTCTGCAAGTTCCTTCCCTTATATCTTACTCCATTTGCGCACGAGAGCTGCGCATTTTACATCATTTGCATAACTCGCTTAGGCGCGTCTACCCTGAAATTTGCATAATTTTCTGGCCACTATTTATTAGTGTTCCATTTTCAATGTCACGCAGTGTATATAAAAATGAATGTATGTGTGTCTGTCCTTTATGCCTGACCAAACCACTCATTGGAACGTCATGAAACTTTGGGAAGTTATTTAGTATAGTACTGGGAAGGTTTCTAGCAAATAGAATTTTTGAAATAACTTTTCGGCTAAAAATAAGCAAGATAAATATTCTAATTTAGCTGTTATTATTCAACAATCTACTCTAAATATCATCTTGTTGATACGATGATTTTGTAATGTAGAAAATTAGGAAAGACAAAATTCAGGATGACACGGCAATTTATTTGAGACAAGAATAATGATACAATTCCAAAGCAATATACTATTCCTTTAACTTCCAATTACCGAGGGAACCAATTAAAATTGATTTTATTCGACTTATCGAGTATTTTTCAAGGGACCGGGAAAAAATGTTCACTTTATCGAGAGATTCGTTGGACAAACCTTTACTCGGGTAAAACCCTGGCGAAGCCGGGTACATTCGCTAGTATTTATATAAACTTCACTTGTAATATAAAAGTAACTATCAAAATAAAATTATAACATGAAGAAGAAAGAAAAACTTTAGGGCGAATTGCATTGAATAAAAAATATTTAAGATCTTGAAATTTTATAATCATATCATTAGCAACTACGATGTTGTAATAAGATGATCTTGGAGAAGATAATGTACATTCTGAGATTTTCCAGTATGCCCCGGTTGTGCGAGCATCTTTATAATTTGTTTTTCTGTATAGAAGTTTACAAAATAAATAATATTGGACTTTTCTAGGGTATAAAAGAATTTATCAGGTCAAGTAAAGAGAAATATATATTATTTGAAAATAAGCATTTATGGTAAAACTAAATTCACATCGTTTTTATGATAAAAAGAATAAATCATATTGTATATATTTATAGACTAGGCA